GATGAACAACTCATGCCTAAAATAACTTTCAACAGATTTCTGGGAAATAGAGAGGGTATTGTAGACTTAACTCTGAGTAGAGCTGTGCGTGCTACAGATGTTACAGATAAAATTCAAACTCGCTTAGAGGTTTAAAGATCAAGTAGAAAGAATAAGATAGATAGAGCTATCGAAGCTAATCAAGCAAGAATTATATAATTTTGTAATATATGCGAAATTATAAATATCCAAATGGTCTTTTCCAATGCTAACTTCTACGTACTTTTCTTCAAGCTCATGTTTTATTTGTCATTGGTCTTCACCTAAATAATAAGAAAAATTGATTAACATTAACTATCAATCACTGAATGGTTTCTAGATCCATTGAACTCAATCCATATATTTACATAGTCTATTATGAATCTAGTATATCTAATACAACGAAACAAAACAAAAAAAAAACAATTTAGACATTTCACAAATGCAATTAAAATAATCGAACTATCATATCGACAAATCTTGAGCAAATAGTGATATATGGTTATGCTATGTTGTATTTGTCGCATGTTATATCCAGTTGTGATTGCTGTTGCCTTGCATGTTGCTCTCTTTTTTCACACTTGCGATCAAGTTTGTTGCCTAAGTCTTTAGTATTTATGGTGGCTGTCAAGCTGACGCATGGTGCGACACGCGCGTGCTTCTGTTTTAACATTCGAATAAGAACACACGACTGTGCGCGCCAATTATGCAAATCTTCGAGTCCGACAAGTGAACTGCAAACAAGACGAGATTTGCATTTCGGTCAATTGTTGCACGATTCTTTTTTTGTCATTCGTGGCGCACGCGCTTAACATAACAAAAACAAAAATCAAATACAAAAAATAAATTGGTACAAAAAACAGATTCTTTTTTAGCCGCAGGCACTGCAAAAGACAATTATTTTTGGTTACTTTTGCCACTTTTTATTTACAGTTTTTGCTCAACATTTTTTACGCACTTTCAATGCCAGCTTCAGACGCCTGCGTATAAAAATAAAAATGGCCAAGAGTCAGCCCACGCTGCCAAACTATTTTTAAACAAACAGATAAATCAATCAATATATATCTATACACACACATGCATGCATATCTATACAAATATCTAAGGTTTTTATGTATTAATTTGTCAAATGTAACAAAAAACCTAAAAAGACGGATTAACCTACATAAATAACAATATTTTGAGTCAAATTTTTCAATTGAACAACAATTACTCATCGCATTTGGTATGCAAATGAAAATAAAAAGATTTAAAAAAAAATAGATATACATATATACTTTTATGTATATATATATCTCCCACCCAAAGCAACTTTCATAAAAACAAATGTTTTTTTTGCCTTATTGCTTTGCGGTCTACAACCAACTGTAAAAATAATATAATATATATATGCAAGTATAGCAGCTTACAAGGAGAAAGAAATTCATCGCAATATTATTATGATTATTTTTCGCACTGACCTTCGCAATAGCCGCGGCACATGCTCATAAAAGGTCCGCTAGCCATGTTTACCAACTAGTCTTGAACGTCTCACGTTTGCCAGTGGTTCCCAGCTGGCTTTGCGGTTACATAGCCCAGAACTGAAAGCCACATAACTGGGAAGTTTTTTTTTATGGGTTACACGACTCACTCTCTCTCCCTCTCTCTATCTCTTACTCTATCTATCTCTCGATGTCTGTCCAGTGTGATCTATGCATAAGAATCTAGTATTACATGTAACACAAATGTGGTATATAATGTATACTATGTTTGTATATATTTTTATATTTATATATACAATTAGGAAAAAATTGTAAAATTTTTGTTACATTACATTATATTATATTTTTAATTTTTTTAATATTTTTTTTTTTATCAAAACTTGTATGTTTTATCAGATCTATTATACCAAAATGTTAAATTGTATAGATGCAAAGAGCACAGATAAAATAAATCGACAGCAGCGCAAAATATTCAGACAGATTAATATGTTATAATTATAAGTTAATGCCTAAATTAAAGTCTCTTTAAATTATCTCACTATATATCTACTTTTACAACGATACTATATCTAGATCAACTGACTTTCGCTCAGTTAACAGCTCAATAGATCAGACTCAGATTGCAGATAAAAACAAAAGTTTAACAAAAACTTTTTGACAGCCATAAATATATTTTAGAATGTAACTCAACACACACACACACAGACACACACACGCACACACATTCATTCATTTCAAGTAGCCCCTATCATTTAGCCAAATAGTCTGGGCGTCCAGGTCGCAGTCAGCAATTAATACACGTTCGTCTACCTAATGCATACAATTTGTTTAAATAATGTTTAAGCTGACTGTAACCTTTTTGTTTTTGTTTTCTTTTGCCTGCACGCTGACAAGTTCAGCGGCGATAAGGTTGAGAAATGAATAACCAGCGATTAGCTGGGCATCAGACAACGGGAAATAAGTAAATTGGCAACGCCGCGGTGCACAGCAGCATGCGGCGTATGCGATCTAATTATACATAATTGCGCATAATTAAAATTTAATTAACACAATCAAGAGCTGCTCGCACTCGGCTCACAACACAGCAGAAACACACAAAACACAAAAACCGGCAAAACGTGTCCACTCGCCGAATGTGAATGTCTTTTGGCCAAGTTGCGTGCGCCAGTGAAATAGTGCAATGCGAACAACAACAACAACAACAGCAACAACAGCAACAAAAATACAATTTCCAAGCACATTTTTCTCAGCCAACAACTTTTATTTCTTGGCTCAAGTGTTGCAGTAAGAGACTAGAGCACAACGCATTTGGCCAAAAACCGAAACGAGTGCAAGTTCAACGGCGAAAACGAGTTTCACATTTTATTTCATTTCCAATTTATTTTATTTCCATGCCCATTTTATTGGTGTTTTGTTGGCCAATGCGCGTCATATACATATGAGGAAGTTAATGCCTGAGCACCGATTCACGCCACTCCACACGCAAAGATCAGCGAGATGAAAACCAAAGAGAAAAACTAAACAACAGTTACTATTTAGTGCGGCATCGGCATCGGCATCGGCACCGGCATCCTCGTCTTTGCCTCTCCCATAAAATATGCAGTAAAATTGCTTTTCCTTAAACTTGACCAGCGGAAAATTGAGCAGGGGTCGGGCAGCGAGAGGAGCGTTCGCTCAACTGGTGCTCAAAGTGGGTCTGGGAGTGAGCGCAGCGCCTAGTCGGTTTCTGTGCTAAATTCGGTTTATTACTTAGTCAAACTGGCGTTTCAGTGTTAATGCCACCTGAACACTTGTTTTCACAGTGCCAGCGCACAGTGGGACGAATCGTGAGCAACTCACTCATATAAAATTATACAACACTTAGGTATGGAATACTAATAAATATTTTAAAGAATTAATGGGAAATAAATGGGCTTTACGGTAAATAGAAATAAAAATAAAAAGAGAAACATAAATAAATATATAATAAGTAAATAACAATAAGTCAAAAATAAATAAAATGAGAATATGACTTTATTAATACATATGTATATTCATAAAATTATAAATATATATAATCAAAAAAATTTATATTTTTATAAAGAAAAAAATCTATGAATAAACAATAAGTTTTTTTAAACGCTACATAAAAATATTAAACAAATTTTTAAATAAAATAAAAATAAAAATAAAATAAATAATAGACAAATAAATAATTAGAAAGAAATAAAAGAAAAATAAATATTAAGAAATAAATAAGATAAATATAACTTTATTAAATAAATTTCTCAGTTGAACGTTTTAAAAAAAAATTCAGTAAATCAAATAAATAAGAATGATAAATAAAACCAACATAAATAAGAAATAAATATGAAAAAAGTATTGTATTCTTCTTTTTGTTCTATATTTGTTCTATAATTTTACAAAATTCAACTTAATCCACAGTGCCAATGCACACCCATGGGGCAAGACGATGTCGTTGACCACATATAGAAAAAAAAATGAAATTCTTGCGCAAGTTTGACAATAATAAATGGATTTGAGCTGTCATTGCGACATGTGCTGGTATTTTGGACAGGCGATTCTTCGCCCGACTGTCCAACCAGCAAAAACCAATTCAATTAAGTACCTTAAATCAACACAGAGAAAGAGAGATCAAGAGAGAGAATGAGCAGTTGGAAAGAGAGAGAGAGAGAGAGAAGTACAAGTATTTTACAGGCGGAAATAGACTGTGACATCCGCCGAGTGCTGACAGCTTCAACTGACAGTCATGCTTGAGATCAACGTGCGCCTCTGGATCTAACACATCCGCTGGACGTTGGCCGCAAATTTAATTAGAAATCTGCACGGCTCTCCACTCGAGGCATTTGTTAGTTCAAGGCACTCGGTTTCCGGCATAGCATAACAACAACAATATATAATATACATTTTCACACTATGCAATATAATTAACTAACGAAAATTTCTTTCTACTCTGCTCTTGTCATTTCAGCAAACACATACACACACACACACACATACGGCAACAAAAATAAAAGCAAACAGTCAGCAAAGTGTGCAAAAAAAAAATGAATAAATAAATACAAAGAAAGAAAAGGAAAAGCAAAGAAAATTATCATAGTTAGCATGGCAGCTGAGGGGGACTGGGGGCGGGGCGCACAGTAGCTTCTAGGCTAGAACGTCGAGAAAATGATTATGATGATAATAAATTAAAGTTGCCATTAATTTAGTAACGAAAACGGCTGTAGCAGGGCAGCCAGACGGTAGCATAATAACAATAAATAATAATTTGAAATAGGTAAAAGCGAATAGACTGAGGGGCCCCAACTGGAGCTAGAGAACTGGAGTCAGTGCAGCAGCAGCAGCAGCAGCAGCGGCAGCTAGAGCTGCCCTCCAACCACAAAGCATACCATAAACAACTCTCAGTCAAGAGCAGCTCGAGCGCGTCGAGTGTGCAAATTAAAAGCGCACAGTAGCACGAAAGGAGCTGAAATAGCAACAACAACAACAACGACAGACAACATGGAAGTGGCAACAACAAACAATCACAGTCAGAGCCATCATCATCATCATCATCACCACCATCATAATCGTCTCGGTGCTGGTGCTGCTGTCGGCAGTGGCAACAACGTCAGCAGCGTCGGCGGTTCCCGTTCACCATTTCAGCGCGAGGTGCGTGAATGGCAACGCATCGATCCGGACACTGGAGCGCTGTTCAGCGGTCGCTTGGAGGCAGATCGCTGGATAAATGGACCACTGAACAGCTATGGCAAGGTAAGAGCATAAGACAACCAGCACACGAAAGCCAATATACACAAAAATAAAATGCCATTGCTTAAATTAAGTTTACTCCACAAGACTTGGGCTAAGTTTTGCAAAAATACAGAAAACAAATAAAAGGCCGTTTCTTAAATTAGGATTTATTCTGGGCCAAAAAAGAAATACTTTTTGTTGAAATAAAATATTATAAATTTATTTTATTTTGTTAAGGCTCAGTATCTATAATTTTTTTGTTGAAATATACACCCAAATGTCTTTATCAAAGGTTTTTTTAATGTTTGTTTTTTTTTTTTATCTAAAAATATATAGATATATATTTTAAAAAATAAATTAAAATAAAATAAGTGAGAAAAAAAATACAGTTTTTCCATTTTCAGAAAACGTAATTCTTAACTCTTTCGGAAAATATATATTTTTTTTAAATCAAATAATTGCTTACATCAAATATATTTTTATTTACAATTATTCAATCATTTTATGGTCATTCTAATGATTTTTTAAACTTATTAGAAATGGTTTAAAATTTAACTAAAACAATATAAAACATTTTTTAACTGTAAGGTATTTTATATAAAAAAATATTAAATTAAAAATAATTCATTGAGACTTTACTCTAATAATAATTTTCTTGTTTGAAAAATCTATATGTATTATATTCCCATAAATTTTGTTCAGCTTTATTGTTGCCCCCAAAAACATATTTAACGATCTATCAAATCATATGAAATACTCTATTTTGTCCTCAAAACCTGGAACAATTTTCTCGCAGTGTATAGTGCGTTACGCGAACGCTGATTGATGCCTAGTTGAAGGCTTAATTCCTGCAGCTTTTGTTTACAGTCTGCGTTGTTGGCTTTTAGCCAGGAATGGGCAGCAAAGGCATTTAAATGAAATTGAAAGGCACGCTTCGGGCCATAGCACTCTAAATGCAGAGGCGTCTACTAATTTAGTGCACTCCGCAACGGGCTGGCCCATCTGGGTGATTGAGCTTGATTGCACAGTTTTGGCTTGGCTGCCCCTTTCGATTTTAATCAGTTAATAGTTTATTTAGCTATCAAAGCGGATGATGCTGTGCCAGCCCGCCCAGCAAAAGGAAGGCAATAAAAGCCATGAGAGAGTTAAGTGAACTGCAAGGTTTTTCATAGTTTTCAATAAGCGTAGGATATATAAAAACTATTGTTTAAACAAATTGGAAGATAAATATAAATTAATTTAGAATGAGCTGAAAATTGTCTATATATACATATATTTAAAAAGAATTTCAATTATTATTTAATTTGATTTAGGCGCTTCTAGAATGAACTTTTCACATGGACTCCGAAAGTAGTTAGACAACTTGGCTAACAGTTCGCCAACGTTGATTACAATTAAGATTTTACAGTTTTAAGCATTATGGCAATTATCTAAGCCGAAAGATTCTATTGATGCCACTGGGCATGCGGCTCAAACCGTTAGCTACGCATAGCTAACATAGACTTGGATGCTTTGTGTTCGGATGGCTGGAGGCTTTTGTGTGTCAGCCAACTCGGCTTCTAACTGCATCAGCGTTGACCATCTCCACTCGGCCATAATTAAACGGTCGCACGCACAAGCTGCACGCCAGATAAACACACGATGTGCCACTTATTAATCGATTTGCCAGACACAACTTTTCCGCAAAATACAAAATTAAATAAAAATAAATGCGAAATTCTCTCGCATTTTATAATTGTGCCAAGTCCAAGTCCGTTCAATATATATACAAGTGTTTATTTTGCCTTTGTTTTGATTTGCTTGGTTACCTTTGCTCGCACGCACACACACACACACACGCACAACTCTCTGAATAGCGTTGGTAATTAATGCGCGCTCTTCAAATTTCACTTGTGTCTTTCCTACATCGATTGCTCTAGAATTTGCAAAACGCAACAGCAACAATCAAATTTTATGCTTGCTCATTGAGTATTGAAGTGTAGCGTATGATTGAGAGCCAGTTGCCATTAGTCGTGCGTGTGGTCAAGCTCAAGTTGTGCGGCTCAAGAGCAGAGAACTAGAGCTAGTCGTACTATGATATATTCTATAAAACACTAAGCTCTCCCTCTCCCTCTTGCTCTCCCACTCTTTCTTTTTATCTATCCCCTAAGCCATGCCAATGCAATGACATCATCTCAGCTCACCAATGTGAACAACCTGTATCAGGTTTTTTTTTTTCTGTTTTTTTGAGATCAGCTCAATAGGAATTCTGATAATAATTAACACATATAGGAAACTTTTTAAATTGCTTTTTAAGCTGTTTTGAATCAGTTCATAGACTTTTTGTGCACCAATTACTCGACCTTTTTTCAATATCTTGAGCCGCAAGCGTAGTTTAAAAAATTCAGAATAATTAAGGATTTTTTTTATTTTATATATTTTTTATTTATTTATTTAGTTTTCATTCAAGACTCTTCCTTCTACTGCTCTTTGGGTCGAATCATGACTTGAGCAAATTTCAGCAAATTCCTTTGCCATTTATACCAATAGAAGCCACTGTTATAGAGTCCATTCAAATTGCTAAAAATTCCCAAAAAAAATATATATAAAAAATTAAATAATTTATAGAATTAAATATCCCGCCTACACACATACCACTGATAGCAATTGTTGAACCACCAGCCGGAGCTATTTTCATCGGCGCAATTCCTATTGCTATTATCATTATCCAGATCGAACGTTGAGAATTGCATATTCAAGTGGGCAGCCATGGCATCGCCAGCATCTCCTGAGTAGACGCCCAGCGACTTGATTCGAAACGAATCATTGTCATCGGCAATCAAGAAATTATCGTAGCGCGCAAAACGTGTTTCATTCTGCTCATTCCGCAAATATATATATAGTTCGTGGCGTTGCGAATTTGTTATCTGATGCAGCTTATCGAGTCCGATGAAGAATTCGCCACGCAAATCACCAAAGCCCTGCTGATACTCTCGCCAATTGCGATTGAAATCGACTTTACCATCGATGCGACGCAAAATAACGGTCCAACCGGGATCCACTAAGCTCGAGTCGCAGGACACTTGAAAGGGTTCCCTGCCCGGCAGTTTGATCTCATGCAACTCTGTGGATTTGCACAGACAGCTGCTGGTTTGGCATTTATTGCTCGACTGCGTCAGTTCATCAAGTTTCTTCTCTAGCTCGGCGATTCTTTCCTGTTCGTTAAGCGTTTTGATTCTTAGCATTGCTATTAATTCGTCTTTATTCTCGAGTTCGGTTTGCAACGCCGATATTTGACGTTCAAGACTTGGATAGGTTTTCTAACATGAAATAAAGTCTATATAGCTAGGAAGTTAGACGGATTAGCTAGCAAAACTCACGGGCAATCTTTCACAATCGACCACACACAGCGGCGATAGCAGCAAAAAACAAAATGCAATTAAATTTTTTGACATTTTTTGCTGTTTTTACCTGCGAACCACTTGCCGAAAGAAACGAATTTGAACTAATTTAGAATATAAGCTAAACGTGCTATATAAACGCATTCATCGCGTCCACTTTCGATTCAATTGCATAAATTAACATTCAGTTTGTATTGTTTGTTTAGAGTACATATTATTTATAAGCCTTGACTTCGACAATTTACATAAGACCTTGCGCTGAACTATGTTTAGGAAATACATATGTATATATATAATTTATTTATATATTTTTGCGGCATATTCTTATGTTAGTTTAACTAAAATTATTTGTATTCTTCGAAAATTTCACTTGTATTTAACTTAATTGATATAGATATTTATATATTTATAGATATCTTTAGGAATTGTATGCTCCGATATATTAGAGAGCAAGGCTCATATTGCTTATTTTTACTGTTTTCTTATCAGTCTTCTCAGAAATGTAGTCGACGTATCAGATACAGATACTTCAATGATATATGTATATAAGGTGCAGGTAGTTTAGCAAATAACATATTTTATTTAAATGTTCATACGTAAATTCAGAGCTATATATAAATTGTCGAAAATTAATATTTTATATTTTATCTTGGCCAAAATAAAGCAAAATAAATATAAATATATTGATTGGCTTTGCAGTTTTCCTTTAAGCAGACTAGAAAAAGTTAAGAAATGCATTTAATATATTTAATAAATTTTAATAGATTTTTAGCTATAAAAAATTAATGTATATTTAAATTTAAATATATATTAAATGGAATAACCGCAAAAATCATTAAATCGCCCTTGAATGCATATTTAATAATGATATCAAGGTCTCAATAAAAATTTGGGTTTTGCTGGCATACAATCTTTTCAATTCACCTCCTATTTTTATCAATTTAAAGAAAACTAAATATATTTGCATAGCTAACTAAATAGCCAATACTCTTTGAAAATATCGCATATAAACATGTATATCTTATAAATATATACTTAAATTAATGCAGCGACCTCAGGCTACATTTCGTACATCAGCTAATCTTCAACTTTTTAAAAAGCCATCACATTTTACATTTTGCCAAATCTCTATAAAAAAATATTTGATATTTTGTAAATATACAAAGCCCATTGGCAATCGATTGTAACATTCCCTCACTCGCAGTTTATATGCCCTTTTGCATTACAACACATGACTGCAGGGTATTCAAAAATTGGCTGAAAGTTGTATTTCGTCCAATTTATCGCGATTGAACTTTGCTGCCAACTGTTGCTGCCGCTGCCTCTGCTGCTGCTGCTACTGCTGTTGTTGTTGTTGTTGTTGTGGGCAATCGATAGAATCGAAAACAATCAAGAGAATCCCAGTGAAGCTGACCAGATCCAGATCCCGATCCACTTCAAGCTATAGTTCTTGTTGCTGCTGAGGCCACTCTCAGTGGTCAATTTAAATAGTCGCACAGTTCACAAATTTGATTGCCCGGCTTTTCGGCTCCCCGGCCGAATTGATATCAATGTAGATTCTGTGCCCGCTGTGTCTGTTTGCCGACAAAGTCAAAGGCAAATTTGCCGACAGCAAATTCAATTGAATGGATCGCGATCTTT